GGCAGTATCACAACGTCCAGCAGGGAATACAACAGCAACAAGAGCATGACCCCAGCCCTCGAGACGACGATCAAACCACAGCACTGCATGGGCCTAGCCACCAGCACCAAGAGGACAACAATCCCGCACAACACATGGCACATTTGCAAGACCTACAGGGGCAACTCCTGAGCCTTGTGGAACACAGATGGCATGGTCTAAGAATCAGAAGCAAACTCTTCAAACACACAACAGAAAGGGCAATGGACTTACGCTTCTTCGCCGTGGCCAGGGCACGGAACCGGCGCACCACCATAGACACTCTTATGGACCGTAGGCAGGGACAGGCCCCCCTGGCCACCACCACACCACAGTGTGTGAAGATAACCAGGGACTTCTTCCAATCCCCCTTCACCTCCCAATGCACGGAACAGGAGGCCGACGTCAGCGAAAAGGAGAGAGAGGAGTTCTTAGCCCCCTTGAGCCAAGCCAAGCCCTCACGGACCAGCAACGCGAGAGCCTTGAATCTCCTCCCTCCAAGGAGGAGATATGGAACAGCCCTGATGGGTGTGGAGGAGGAGAAGACACCCGGGATAGACGGCCTGCGAAAAGAACTTTGGGATCCCTTCCGGCCCGCTCCAGCGTCGGACCTCGTGGATTACTGACGAACAATTTGGGAGACAGGTGGGATGGGGGAATTAGTCAGCCAAGGGGTGCTCAAACTAATCTATAAGAAAGGGGGGGAAACTAACATATGGAACTACAGGCCGATCACCTTGCTGACAGTGGTATATAAGATGTTGGCCAAGGCCCTAGCCAAGGCTGATAGGGGTAATGGAGGACATTATACACCCGGCCCCAACGGGTTTCATCAAGGGGAGGAAGATACGGGACAAGGTATTCCTTTTGGTGAACGAGGTGATCAAACTGTTTAGACGGTCTCATCGCTATGCGTCCTTTATCTTTATAGGCTTCGAGAAAGTCTATGACCATTTGGACTGGGTATTCCTTGATAAGTGCCTCGAAAAGACGAACTTTGGCCTGGTGTTCCGAAGGTAGGTGGGTCACAATACCAGTGCAACCACCTGCGTCCAAGTAAACGGAACTCTGGCGCTGTTCATCTCACTGCAGCGATTGGTTTGGCAAGGGGACCCGACTGCCCCGTTCCTTTTCGTGATCATAATGGAAGCCCTGGCGGCCAATCTCAGAACACAGAAACATTAGGAACAACCCAATCTCCTCGATATCTAAGAAGCTCATCGACCTCTTCTGTCGGCTTGGCAATCAACTGGGGCAATAAGACCCTGGGCGGGTGGATCCGTTAGAGTTAAGACCCTGGGTGGGTGGATCCGTTAGAGTTAATACCCTGGGCGGGTGGATCCGTTAGAGTTCCTTCAACAAGACAGAAGGAAGCGTGAGGGTGTTCATGTTGTAATCGTTTTCTCGTTCTTTCTTCGTCTTTTTCTCATTTTTCTTACTTGTCCGCTTTTGTTTTCTCCACTATTCCTTCTTTGTCTACTTGTTGGCTTTCTTTTTCTCTGCTCTCCTTCTTTGTCTAGCGAGTTTTGCTTTCTTTTTCTCCCCTCTCCTTCTTTGACTAACCGAGGTGTATTTCTTGCTTCAACCTTGAGGCTGGCATTATGGAATGAACTGGGAACACGTTGCAACACCTGTATCCAAATCAGCCTCCTTCAGCCCATGTTGAGGAAGTACTTTATCCACAGAGTGCACACCTGAGGATCGTGTGGTGTGGAAACAGTGGAAACATACTAAACACACAAACAGTGATTCATCTGAAACAGTTTTCACCCTGTCTCTTATACACATCTAGATGTGTATAAGAGACAGGTCTGGGATCCTGGACGTCTCCTTACCCTGGTTATCTGATGGAGACGTCCGCCAATCGGACAGTTGGCAAGAGTTTTGTAGAGTTGCAATCCCGGTCACATCGCGATTCCTAATCCAAGTGAAGATACAAAAAAAAGGGAAATCAAGAAATCAAACTAACACCCCCCGTTTTTAACCCCCTTTTCAGCCCATTTGCATTTGTGCCCCCTTTTCTGCCACCAACGAATAACACTGAAAAACAAAACAGAGAGCCTGTATTTGGGCTGCTTTTGTTGGGTGCAGAAAAGCCCCATCGACTCCGCCCCCCAAAAGAAAGAAATTCCTGGATAATCAGTGGAGATTTTATATGCCTGCAGTACCCCAGGCGAGCTTCACGGATGTCCGGCCATGCAGCCCTGACAACCTTGCCAAATGGGGAGTAAAAACTTAAAAGACATTACTTCGTGCAACTTTGTGGTAATCCGCGCCTTTATGGCTAGTGCAGCACTTGCCATCCAGATGTGTGAATTTCACATGTGGCGAACTGTTTGGTGTGTGTGTCATGGTGCCAATCACCTTGCCTCCACCAAGCCGATTGAATCAATTGACATACCTCGCCCGTCTCAGCGCATTGAAACTGCGGATCAATTGACAAACCTCGTCCTTCTCTCGAAATTCGGGCACTCCTCGTAGAGCTACGAGGACGACTCTCCAAGTAACTTACTCTCCATGGAAGGACTCACTAAATGTTGAGAGCACACAGACAGCTGAAAGTCGCGTTTGCCCGCCCATACTCCAGGCCTGCCCTCCAAATTCGGGCACTCATCGTACAGCTACGAGGAGGACTCTCCAAGTAACTACCTGTGCAGTCAATGACCTTTCCAACAGTCGAGTGGTTTTCAAGAGTGCACTCTGATATCTATCAAAGGGAACTTCAGCGCCCGATTTGGAGAACCAGTGGACCAACGCTAAACTCTCCAGATCTATAGAGTGGAGAGTAGTGGAGCGAGACCCTTAGTGCAATATTTACGCATTAAATCACTTCGTTGGTGCAGCCTCATAGACTTGGCCGCCTTGCTTCGTTTTCAGTGAGTTGTCCTTTGGCCAAATGGAATCTCACTGGGGATCGTCTCACAGGGAATTCCTCTGGCCACAGGGAATCATTCTTTGGGATCAGGGAATCTTCCTTAGGCGTCAGGGAATCTTCCATAGGCATCAGCCTTTCTGCGACCTCCGCACTCAGTTTTTTGAAGACCGCTTCTCAAAACATAATTAATTGTATGCATCAATTTACCTCACAGTGTCTGGCTTTGTCCTTTGGTCATGTACCCGTACACTCTACCCTCTTTCCCCTTTTCCCTCTCCATGGGGGGGAGCACTTAGCATTGTTCCGTCTAATTGGGACTGTGCAAGAAAAGAGGGCCAGAAAACCTGCGTTCCGCCGGTCCACAGGTCTGGAGTCAGTCTCTAGGTTGTAAGGTCAATCCATGTCCGTAGAGGTCTACCGTCTTCACCCGAATAGAATGCCCAGCCTTATAGTATTCGGGGCAACTCTCAGTCTAGATACAGCGTTAATGACCCGACGATTTATTTGGGAGAAGAAGAGGTAGGGAAGGGTCTCAGATGGAGGACCAAGAAGGTTTTCGGGCCAGCTAGGTCTTGATTCAGGTACCCCAGGCCTGGGTAGATCAAGGGACAGGCTCGGTGCAACCCAGAGTCAAGCGTTCTCCAGAAGTCGAACTGTTGGCCGCAGATTGGCTGAGACCACACACGCGGTTCAGACAAAGTTTCAGGATGGGCTTAGGGCCTACTGGGCGCAGCAGGTGCCCAGCAAGGCAGCCAGGTGGTGGGCAGCCGGTCGTGCCCGGTGCGCCGGTCAAAGCAATGTATCTCAGCTGCCCGCCCAGTCACGACACATTCTGGCTTGTGCCCAGCTTATCGCCGTATCTACCCTAAACATTGCACTGAGTACAGCTATAATGACCAGGCGTTATATTTGGGTGAAGACGGTAGGCTGAATACGTCACAGAGGCTAGAGAGAAGAAGGTTTCTTGTTGGAGAGGAGAGTTCGCCATAGGAGGGCGTGATGCAAGGTGGCTTTGAGAGAGAAGAATAGGGAGGAGTGGAGAGAGACTGAAGGAAATTGATTCTCTTGTTATCATTTACGCGTGAGAGTCATTTGTTGTGTTATGGTTTGTTCTCTTTGCCTATTTGTGTGTTGACAGAGTCATTTGTTGTGTTATGGTTTGTTCTCTTTGCCTATTTGTGTGTTGACATTGGATGCCTCCATTGAGGATCCATGTGCTTCAAGGGTTAGTTCCCGTTGCTTCGGATTTGATCGAGCTTGTATGGTACGGGCTCTCATTGTTGGGATTTGAAACTCTTCATTCCTTTATCATTAGCTAGATGTGCATGCCATAGCTGCCACACTGGGGCCCGCAACCTTACCCTGGGGGCACAATTTTTTCCAGCCCTGTTGCTGTCCCACTCAGCTCGTGTAGTACGGGCGTACGGGCTCATCGGGATTTGAATTCTTCATCTCTTTATCATTAGCTACGTGTGCTTGCCATTCCGCTGCCAAGCAGTGACAGTTGGGACCACAACCTGATCCTGGGGGTACAGGTTTCTGCAGCCCTGTTACTGTCCCCCTCAGTGGAGTCCTTGAAAGTTAAAACCCCCTCGGTAGAATATTTCTCTCTCTTCGGTTCAATATTTAGAGCCCCCTTAGTGGAATCTTTATGACTCCGCAGTGGAACACTTTTTCCCGCCTTCGTCTGTGTGCTCGTATCCATAACTGTGCTTGCTCGTCTCCTTTTTCATTTGGCCTTCTCCTCCTCTTCCTGCGTGATGGACTTCCCTCCCTTTCCTCCCCCATCTCTTCTCTCCGTCATCCCCTTGCCTTCCTCTTTTGGATATTCTTGGTTCCAGTTGGCACATGATATGGCACGTGTCGTTGTAAAGACTGTGTGTGTCTACACTGTGTAGTTATTCGTGGCAACAGGATGGATCTGATCCATGTTGTAATAATAATTCATTATAATTGTGCTCCATTAAATTATTAATTATTGTACTATTGGATTTTATTGCATTACTGAAGTTATTGTATTTTGCTATTTTGGCAAAATAATTTTGCTGAATATTTTGTATTGTATTATTGAAGTTTTTGTCTTATTGAAATTATTTCTGTTTTACAGAGACCAAAACTTCTCCGGCCCGCTGGACCTATCTACCAAGTCATCGACGCCACCAAGTTGGCAGCCATGAACTTTGAAACGTGGCCATTTTTCAACAAGGTAAGAAAATATGTTCGTATCCATACCTCCTGCGAAAAAAAAGACGGGATTTGAACGTGCGACTTCTGGCGTGACAGACCAGCACTCTTAGGCCTGGTCCTATATTAAACCGCCAGTACGATTCCCAGCCATTTTTTCAGAGCTGCGCTGGGTAAGGCGCCTCAGGCCTGAAACGGAAGGGCGACAGCCGATACATTGAATCGGCAGCCAGTCTTGATTTTTGGCCCGGCACGCAGTGCATGCAGCCGACATATGGGAAAGGTACTGGTAGGTTTAACCTATTAGTATTTTTTTAGAACAGCTACCTTAATAATTAAATTGAATAAAGTGGTAGGCTGCAAAAATAAACTAGTCTGGACTCTGGATTGAATTAAAATTTAAAAGTTCAATTAACACGAATATGGTCAAGTGACAATAATCGCGTAAAACGGTAAAAGCCTAAAAGCCTAGTAAAAGGTTCTTTTTTTTTTTCTTTTTTTTTTAAGGTTTTTTTTTTTAATTCAAMAAATAAGTTGACATGACAACATTGAATCCAACAAATAAGTGACACATCATTTTGTTGTTATTTTGCTGCTAGTTAAAGTCGAGAAACTAGTCCGTTTTTCTTAAATTGCATTGCCACCAACTTGGGGGCCAACACTAAGGTTGAGGGTTCACACTTCAAATCCCTTTTTCCGCACGTCAGCTTCGCTGCCTGGCCAAGATGTATCAGTTTGATCCAAAACAGGGTGATCTAGCCATGGGCAGGTTGAAGAGAGAGTCCTAAAGGGGCCGTCTTTGCGTCTGATAAAGCGACTCCCGTTTAAGAGGCCACTTTATCTTTCAAAAAAGTTGTCCAAAAATTGCACCACAAAGAGCATCAACCACCCTGCATGTCCTATTTGCAGAAAACGGTAGGCGAAAATAAGAGTTATAANTTTTTTCTTTTTTTTTCACCAATAGTGTGTGAAGTTTGAACACAAAAATATTATGGTGTGGAAGAGGATTTTGAACCACCAGTTCTTATGACCCTTGCTTCACGGGGATTACCTTCTTCCCCCGAATACAACATATGATCATTATAGCTGTACTTGGGGTATATTTCAGTCTAGATACAGCCATAATGACCGTACGTTGTATTTGGGGGAAGAAGGTAGAAAGGCCCTGCATGCCCCCCAAAAGCGAACCGGTGCGTTTTCCTTTTTTGCTGGTTGCTAGCCATTTAGCTCCAATTGGCTGCCGTGACCGAAAGTCGTGGCGCATCAACGGCTGCATTGGAGAAAAATGGCTGCGAAACGTACTGGCGGCTTAAACCACGAGCACCTTTCCCAGCTATTTACCAGAGATGCAGCTTTTTGACGGGCGCAAACTTTCGGGGCCAGGCCGCAGTCGATAATCTTCATCAACTGGCTTTGTCGTGATTTCGGCCTCCGAAAGTCGCGGTGAGCCCGAGGCCGATCTACGGGGGAGGAACTGGGGGTTTAAGTTCTAAATTGGAACTCGAATCCTTGAGGGCCTTGTTGTATTCTCTGTTTTTTGAAGTGGGTAGCCGCTAACGTTCTTAAACTTCTTATATTTGTCTTGTCCACCCCTCAGGATTTGAACTCTTGAGCTGTTCAGTACAGTTACATGTTCGTACCATCGAGCCCCATGCGCCAGATGGGCCTTTACTATATTCTATCCATCAGGGTTGCAGTTTGAACTCTGAAGTTGAACCTGTTTATTTTGTTGTACTGACGCTTGTTCTTGCCTGAATGCATCTGGACACAATTATGGTCATCCAGCGCCTTGTACTTGCGTGAATGCATCTGGACACAATTATGGTCATCCAGCCACATGGACTAGATGGGCCTCCACTAGGTTCGGAGTTTGAAGTTTGAAGTTCAAACCCTTGATTTTGTTGTATGGGATTCAAACGTGTTTAGACTTTGGGTGTACTGAAGCTTTTTCTTTCTTGAATGCATCTGGACACAATTATGGTCACAATTGAGTAAAGAAAGTCGTAGCGAGAATCTGCTCTGAGTGATTGTACAACATTTCAAAAATATGCCCAGCAGACTGTATCGTAATTTTGGCCGGGTACTACTGAATGCTTGCTTGTTCCTTCTCACGCCGGGGGTTATTTTGGGAAATAATAATAGTGTTGTAATAATTGTCTAATAATACAAGGAATAGAATGATTGAACTTTTTGTTACCTTGCTTATGGATCCGATCAATGTTGTTTTTTGGGTGAAGTGCAGATTGTCAGAGGGCTGGAGAAGATCAATCCCACAAAAGAGCCTTTGAACTCGCCGCTTATCAATGGCAAGTGGAGGCTTGTTTACACAACATCAGCTAGTATTCTCGCGACAAAGGTTTCATGATCTTCATCCCTCGCATCCATGTAGCATCGAAAACTTCCATCGTTTTTAATGACGCTTCGTGCACTACTTCAGAACACCATCAGCCCCCACCCTCCACACATGTAACATCTATATTACATTCTATAAACTTGGTATAAAAACTTACAGAGTGAATAGTGGGTCTCGCATAACACTCCCTTGCGAGCCAGGGACTCTTGGGACAATGAACCAACCCGAGGGGATTTTTTCTTTTTGTTTGCTCCTGCGCTCTATTTTTTTGGCGCTTGTCCTCACTTTTTATTTTATTTTTTTCCTTGCAGGTAATCGTTCCTAGTCTGTCTCTTATACACATCTAGATGTGTATAAGAGACAGGTGCAGCGGGCTGTGCAGTCTTGCATGTGGCGGGGTTGTGACCGTTGTGCAGTGTTGCATGTGGCAGGGTCAAGCAGTGTTGCAGTGGGGGGGATGTGGTGGATCAATTCACAGATACACACACACACATGCACCACACACACACACACAGAGAGAGGGAGAGAGAGAGAGAGAGAGAGAGAGAGAGAGCAAAGTGTGCCCAGCAGACGTTGTTTGAGACCCATAAAATGACCTGAGAAAGTGAACTTCAGTTTCGCTAATTTTTGTGCAACTAAAGAAATATCTCAACTGGCAGTTCATAGCCCTTCTCTTCCCTTGCTGCGCAGGACACGGCACCGTCGAACTTACCTCACAGGGACCAACTTCATGTAGTCAACAAGGGGTTTTTTTTCGGCGGATTTTTCACCAAAAAAAACCCGAAAAAAAACAAAAAATCAGCAGAATATGACAGTTTTGGTGCAAAATTGGCGAAAAAAAACCCTCTGGTTAACCACCTGAAGTTGGTCCCTGTGGGGTGAGTTGGACGGTGCCATGTCCTGCGCAGCAAGGGAAGAGAAGGGCTATGAACTGCCAGTTGGGATATTTCTTTACTTGCACATCTGGATGCCTGGCCGGGCAGGCGGGGTAACGGTCACCCCCAGCCCAAAAAAAAAAAAAAAAAAAAAAAAAAAAGAACTGAAATAAATGGAAGTCAGGAAGTTTTGGCTCGTGTGGGAAGCTTATCCAATCCTGGTCAAGAAAGACCCAACGACAAGCAGACTGATTTTCGGTTCGATCCTGCAGAAAATATGCAGTGGATGTAGAGTAGGATCCATGTCACCGTGTACCATAGTTAGTGATAGACTTAGATCTGGAGAGTAGAGGCCCGTGTATGTAGCAGTGGTTGGGGGGTGGGGTGGGGCGACGGGGTGGGGCCACCCCCACGAGTTAGGGAGGGGGGGCCGGGAGGGGTTAGTGTAGAGAGAGAAGCATGAAAGGGAAAAGCTGGGAGATTGCGAGGAGAGTTGATATGTGGGCTTGAAGGGCACATTTGAATTCAAGAGACATGGGGGAACAATCTGATGTTCAGGGGAGTATAGTACAGCAGCATCTAGGGTATCATGAATTGGTGTGGACGGGAAATGAGGGCGCAAATAGGTGTAGGTGAGAGGTGTGGGGGGCTGGTCTAGTGAGAAAGGGAGGTGTTAATAGTGGATAGTGGATAGTGCAGTGAACCTGACTTTGGATGAACGGGTGTGTGCGTGAAGGGAGGCTGGTGACTGGAGGTCCTACTGGTGCCCCTAACCTTCCCTCCCGGCACCTGCATAGTGTGCGTCTGTGTACTGCGCAAAGGTTTCCTGGCCACTATGCAGGCCCCAGGTGCGTACAGGCATGCGACATCGTGCAACCCCTCCGGCACCCCCTGTATCGTGTCTAGGGCGATGGGGGTATGAGGCTGTGCTGTTTCTCAGCTTTTCCTCTTCGGTTGTCCATGTTTACTGCTGGCCCCCAGAATAGATGGGGCTTATGTGTTTGAAAAAAAATGAAAAAGAACAAAATTCTGGAAAAAACTAGGCTACCAGAGTGGCCCGGGGTCACTTGCCCGGCCGGGCCAAAATAATTAAAAATATATATATATTTGACGATATATCTGTTTGTGACGATATATATATATATATATTTTGAATTTTATTTTTTATTTTAAATTTGGTGAAGAATTTCGATGTGACCCTTTGTCATCCAGTTGCCGTTTTGTTTAAGAGTTGCATTTTGGATGGGACGCTGGACCCCGTTTCCAGCAATGGGTTACATCCGGGTTGAGATGTGGAGGGATTCCCGGCCTCCTTTTGATGGCTTAAAGAAATAAAATGCACTCTTCCTTAAAAGTTGTTCAGTTTATTTTTCTGCATAACAATGCTAACATAGTTTTTTTTCA